CTCAACAAATAAATAATATCTCAAATTTTAAAACAAATCATAACTGATCCTCAATAACTCTCCTGAGGCAAGCGGTTGGGCAGTTCAAGCGGGCTCAGGGGCACAGCAGGCTGGGCGGGAGAGCACATCCTAGGGGCTCATCCTGATTAAGGGCCGTTGCCTGCCGATGCGTCTCGAGGCTCATGGTTGAACACTGTCACTGACACCTAGGAGCTGCACAACTCTGGGCTGTCAGTGTATGTGACCAAGGGCTCCCATTTTTATCAAGATACTTTGCCCATGAGTTAAAATGTCAAGTGGGCAGTCTTGGCTTTGCCCCTGAAGGAAGGTCTTGTGACAACCCCCCTCTCTACACAATTGCTGGTGTCTAGTTATCTGACATTTCCTTCCTCTCTCTGTGCCTCAGTTTCCTCATCTGTAACAAGGGGACAGAAGTCACATATTCCTTGGACCACCGCAATGAGAATTTAAGGTCCTGATGGACATAAAGTGTGAAGGCACATACTGAGGGCTCAATAAATATTAAATATCATCATTTTATATGCATGCTATCAGCATTGTATCAAGGAGCTCAAGCCTGAGGACTCCCATGTTCTGAACAAAACCTGAAACATGACAGAGACTTGCCAGTAAGTGGCTTAATAAGGCACTATTCAATACAGTAAAGAAAATACAATATATGGGGGAAAATTTGCACAGCTAAAAATTAGGAGTGTGGTTTATAGCCAACACAATGAATATGTGCCAAGATTCTAATCTTATTTTGTAAATATAACTAGAAGCAATACATGTATTTTTCACTGTGGGCAAGGATTTAACAAATTCTGGTTTCTGTTTGTGAACTAGCCACCCAGGCACTTTTAACACTGTTACTGTGTTTGCTTGCTCTGGAGACATATGGGAAATGTAAAATGATTGTAATAGCACCAAAAGTGGCCTTTCTCTTCCTAATGAAATTCTAAAAGCTACAGGCTCCTGTAATGCAGACAAGCATTTCTGCCCTGGTAGATTCATCACCCAAACTCAGTCAACCATGGCCAAGCAGAAATTGTGACCAGCAATGCTGCCACCTGCAGGCTGGAAGTGGAATCTCCCTACTCAGAGAATTAAATCCATGCTTGACACAGAAATAATGTTCCATTTAAGTTAACGGTTCTATTCTTCCCATTCTTCCAAATAGCTCAGCTCCACACACCTGTTGGCCAACCTTTAGCTACACTGTTCCACTGATTCGCCCTCACTGCACAGCAACGTGGCCTTGGGTTTTCCTTCATTTCAGATGCTCAAATTGAGTGACTTCATGCTGATAGTGTCAGCTTTGATGCTGATGCTTTGGGACAAGCACACAGAATAATACGTGCACAGAAGAGCCCCTTTTCTTCCAGTAACATAAGTGTGCACACAGCACCTATTTCTCTAGTTATATACACGTGTACATGAATATAAGCACAAAAACCATTCAGATAAAGGTAGGCAGGTCCAGACCCCCTTTCACCCAGAACACACACAGCAACTCGAGTGCAGCTAAGTCAGAGAGGAGGCCTTGTTTTCCAGCGCAGCATGCTGAGCAGCACTCTCTACAGCATCATACCAGATCAGAGTGTGCGCTCAAGTCCGTTATTCCAGTTCCAATCCAGCTCCCTGTTAACGAACCCAGGAAAGCAGCGCAAGGGGAGAGCCAGATAGAGTTCCAGACGCCAGGCTTCAGTCCCCAACCCCGGCTGCTGAGTTCATTTGGAGAGTGAACCAGCAGATGGGAGACCTTTCTTCTCTCCTTCTCCTTCTGCCTTCTCTCTCTTTTTAATAGAGAAGTAAATAATTGTTTAAGAGAAAACAAAAGATGAGACCAATGGCAGCAAATGCAGGACGCCAAGTCTGGCCTGCTTTCAGTTGACCTGTTAGATGTGTTTCCTTTTTCTCCCGGTTTCTGTGCTCCCTTTCCTGTACTAAGCATTTGTTGTCTAGGTTGTGCTTTTCAGATCTTCAGTGAGTCACACTTGGGACTTCCCAGAGTGGTGCCTTTCCTGATTCCTCCTGCACCTGACTCCTCACCTCCCCACAAACCTCACTGTTGCAGTTTTCCATTCTCGAGTGATCTGGCTAATTGTTTCTGGCAAATCACATGAACTGAGAGCCAAGTTCCTGTGGCTAATTATTTAATGTATTAACTACTCTCAACTATTTGCATATTGACAGAGGCCTTGCTCAGCCCATAACTTAATTAAAAGCATGAATCATTGGCAGGATGGTGGGCAGCAGTGGGTATTGAGCCACTGCTGCCCAGAGCCCAGGGGAGACAGCTGGGTCAGAGAAGGGAAAACTTTCACAAGAAGACTTTAAATCGCATGATATAAATATCCAGCTGCCTTCACATACACACACACACACCACACACACACACACACACACACACACACAGCACTTCATGCCATGTATTCCCATACAAACCAATGACACATAATGCCATTTCAGTAACAGCTGATAGCAACCCCATAAACTAACAGTGCAGTTAACGGGTCCAGTCCCCCTGACCATAGAGCACTGCTCATGTGTGTGTGGTGATGTTGGTGTGGACACACCTACTCTACCACCACCAGTCATACACGAGTGTAGCACACACAGTTCTGTACAGTGCTTAGCACCTGACACCTTAACTGTGACACCATAACTGTGTTTCCAACTTATGTACTTATTATCCTCTGCTTTTATAGTGTCCTGACACACATGCACAATTCATGATAAAACTATGTGCTGTGTTACACTGGCAACAACTTCAGATATCTCATGTTCACTAAACCTTAGAGCACATTTACACGGAGGAAATACACAGAGAGAGAAAGATCTTCCATCCACTGCTTCACTCCCCAAGCAGCCACAACAACCAGAACTGAGTCAATACGAAGCCAGGAGCCAGGAGCTTCTTACAAGTCTCCCACACAGGTGCAGGGTCCCAAGGCTTTGGGCCATCCCCTGTTGCTTTTCCAGACCACAAGCAGGGAGCTGGAAGGGAAGTGGAGCAGCCAGAACATGAGCCAGCACATGCAAGGAGAGAATCCCAGCCAGCAGGCTACCATAGCAGGCCCAGCAGAGAGATCTGAATGGTGCCTCTTACCAAAGTTGTACTATGGAAGATAATTTCAGAATTCACTCTTCTAAGCTCCGAGATAGATATTACTAGACTATGAGCCCTTAATAGTTTCCGCTGGCATGTAACTCTTGCTCATCTGTTTGAAACAGATGGGGATGAGTCACACGAGTTTGTTTAGGGGGTTACAATTAAATTGTGTGTTCTGAGTTTTGACCAAAGAGTTCAGGAGAAAATGTCACTCTGAGTTTAAAAAAAAACCTGCAAGCAATGGAGCAATAACAAAAAAAAAAATGTGTTAAATCCAAGGTGTGAATGAAGTCAGCCATCTGTAACATTTGCTTGCCATTCATCTCATTGGTTTTGCTTCTCAATTCATGACACCAGGAAGATGGATTTCAATATGTAAGCTCCATTTATTATGCAACTGCGTTGCCTGTGGGAAGCACAAAGCAAAACCAAAAGGAGGGCTCTTGGTTCATGGCCCTTAGATGAGGCAGCGTGACCTGTCTCCCAGAGTCTCTTGGGAAACGGCAGGACAGAGGTGACAATCATGGCAAATGACCACGTTGATGTCCTGTTGGTGGCGTTTTTCCTAAAACGGTGCTCACCACTTTGAACTTCAGCCTTGATGAGAACTGAAGCCAAATGCCACCCAACCCACTGAGCAGCTGAGTGTGGGCCCTTGAAGAAGACTGGAGGATGGCATGAGCTTTGAGAAAGAGGAGACGCTGGACCACCACGCGTGTAAGCACACCAACAATCCAAGACGACACAGCTTCATTCTGAGTGTTGTCAGCGTAAATCTGAGTGTGCAGAAACAGTTACTAAAAGTGGCAAAGTGCTTTCCTGTCATACCGAAAAGTCAGTTCAGTGGCTGAGTGGTACTTCTACTACTGTGTATGTTTGTTATCAGAAATGTTGTCAGCTTGTCTATGAAGTCAGCAGTGCACCTGGCCTTGTAAGCACTCCTTCTCGCACAAGGCTTATTTAACTGCCTGCACCATGACCAGGAACTCAAGTCCTATGGATTTCCTGAGCTTATTTTTTTTACTTAATTTGCATAAAAGTAAATTAGCATTTCCTTTCACTGAAAAATCATTAAACCTTTTTATTTTCTTCCCACAGTGCTTTTCCAGCAAGCCTTATGTATTCAGAAAGTTTTATTTCTAAAATATAATTTAAATGAATAGGTTTTTATTTTTATTTTCATCATTTTTATGACCTATGTTACTATGTTGGTAAAATTCCCTTTACTGCCCAAGCTAATGAAAATCACTTCCCTCACCTTGAAAGGCTAGGTAAGCAACAAGTGCTTATTGCACTTGTAAATGTACTCCTGAACAACCACGTGGCAATAATTAGTCACATTTTTTCATCTCATGAGTATCATAATTGTATACAAAAGGCTTCTTTCGGCTCCTTTTTCTTTTTTTCTTTTTTTTTAAAAAAGATTTATTTATTTTTACTGGAAAGGCAGATATACAGAGAGGAGGAGGAGAGACAGAGAGGAAGATCTTCTGTCCGATGATTCACTCCCCAAGTGAGCGCAACGGCTGATGCTATGCCGATCCGATCCTAAGCCAGGAGCCTTTTCCCGGTCTCCCGCACGAGTGCAGGGTCCCAAAGCTTTGGGCCGTCCTTGACTGCTTTCCCGGGCCACAGGCAGGGAGCTGGATGGGAAGCGGGGCTGCCGGGATTAGAACCGGTGCCCATATGGGATCCCGGGCGGGCAAGGCGAGGACCTTAACCACTGCGCCACCGCGCCGGGCCCTCTTTTTTTCTTTATTACTTTTGTTAGGCACGAAGATTGGGTATAAGCCTTTCTTTGTGTAAGAAAAAGAAGAAAAAGTAAAACGAGGAAGTGTGTTTGGTCACGGGAGGGAAGAAGAGACTTAGAAAAGTCTCACAAACTGTGCTCACTTCAACAACACATATGCTAAAGTCTGAACAATGCAGAGAAGTTTCCCATGGCCCCTGCACGGATGATACACTAACTCGTTGAGAGTCTTCAAAGTGTGCGTTGAGGGCAATCTCACTTTTCCACGTCAAAAAGCCCAACCCCTCCACTCCCACTCATTCTCATCCCCTACAGCCAACAACCTAGAGTAACAGCAGGAGATATTCTCATTTAAAACACACTGGAGGTGTGTGTCTGTGTGTCTGTGTCTGTCTGTGTTGTCTGTGTGTGTCTGTGCCTCTGTGTGTGTGTCTGTGTGTGTCTGTCTATATACCTGTGTGTATATCTGTGTGTGTCTGTGTGTCTGTGTCTGTCTGTGTTGTCTGTGTGTCTGTGTCTGTCTGTGATGTCTGTGTGTCTGTGTCTGTCTGTGTTGTCTGTGTGTCTGTGTCTGTCTGTGTTGTCTGTGTGTGTCTGTGCCTCTGTGTGTGTGTCTGTGTGTGTCTGTCTATATGCCTGTGTGTATATCTGTGTGTGTCTGTGTGTCTGTGTCTGTCTGTGTTGTCTGTGTGTCTGTGTCTGTCTGTGTTGTCTCTGTGTGTGTCTGTGCCTCTGTGTGTGTGTGTGTCTGTCTATATGTCTGTGTGTATATCTGCCTGTATCTGTGTATGTGTGTCTGTGTGTCTGTGTCTGTCTGTGTCTGTGTGTGTAATGGCATCATATGCTGCGTCTTAGTATCCTTCTCCCTTTCCTCACTCTTCACTTTAAAATCTAACCACGTTGACATCTATCCACAAATTTTGGTCCAAATACTACACAGTGTGCGAAACATACATCTCCATATTGTACCAGCCCAATTCCACTCTGCTACCTTCGATGCCCCACCTGCATCAGTTATCAGTTTATTACTACTCAGTTGCAAATGAAGTGGGAGCAGCCAGGACTCAAACCAGCACCCATACGGGATGCTGGTATGTCACAGGAAGGGGCTTAGCTTACCCTTTGATGACTCTGGGTCCCTAATCACCCTTTTTAAAAGTTCTACCTGGGCGCCTTCCTTCTTATTACTCATCCCCCCAACTATAGTGGAGATTAAATGTGTCAATCAGGGCCTGACGAGGTGACCTAGTGGATAAAGTCCTCACTTTGAATGCACCAGGATCCCATATGGGTGCCGGTTCTAATCCAGGCATCTCCACTTCCCATTCAGCTCCCTGCTTGTGGCCTGGGAAAGCAGTCAAAGACAGCCCAAAGCCTTGGGACCCTACACTTGTGTGGGAGACCTGAAAGAGTTCCTGGCTCCTGGCTTTGGATCGGCACAGCACCAGTCATTGCAGTCGCATCGGACGGAAGATCTTCCTCTGTTTCTCCTCCTCTCTGTATATCTGACTTTGCAATAACATGAAATAAATCTTTTTTAAAAATGTGTCAACCATATTCACATCGTGGCATTCTTCCAGCTCCCCTTAAACTCATGTCCTTTTCATATACAAAACTACAATCATTTCATTCAAATTAGCATCATAGTCCTCACTCATTCCAAAGCCAACCAAAAATTCAATTGAGACTTAAGACAAATTCTTTCTGCTGTGAGCATATACAGTCTAAAGAAGTCCTTGACTTCCAATATACAATAGCAACATAGACACAGTTCCCATTCCAAAAGACAGCAACAGATTATGAGAAAGGAACAAACGGTCCAAAGTGAGTTCAAAACCCAGCTCAGCAGACACAAAATCTTAACATCCCGTGTCTGACATCACATGTGTATTGGAGAGGGGTGGGTCCCGGAGACCTGGAGAAGCCCTGCCCCTGGGCTTTGCCGTGCTACAGCCCTCTCTGTTTGGAGTCGTGACTCCAGCAATCACACACTGGTGTGCTCTGGCCATTCAGTATTAGCACAACAGTGGTAATCAACCACCCCCATGACTCCACTAGGCATTACTCCAGCCCTGCGACAAGCCTTGGCGTGGCACCCCAGCCTCTCCTTGGAAATCCTGGGGAAAGCAACCCTGACCCCATGGCTCTCTCATTCCCAGCACCCACAGAAGTGGCAATGAGTGGAGACCATTGAGGTCTGCTCCTGCTCCCTTCAGAGTAACGGCTTAAGATTCATGCTTGTGGATTTATTTTGGCTCATTGTTCTGGACCAAGGTTGAGAGAGGCTTTTTGGTTTGTTTTTTGTTTTTTGTTCTTTGCTTTTTTTTTTTTTGGATGGTTTTATTGCTGACAAGAGTCCCAAAGACAGCACAGGGCAAGAGATGGGATGTCCACTGGAGGTGAGAGAATCCAGTAGTCCAGTAATCAAAAGAAGAGTGTCGTCTATTCATGGGCCCAGAACCCTAACCGCCTCTTACAGATGACACCCAGTCCCAATTCTTAATTACTCATAACAAGGATAAGATTTTAACACAAGTTCAGGGTAGACAAACTTATTCAAATCATAGCAGTGTCTTTATATCCATTCTTCGGTTAGTTTGGTTTTTTTTTTTTCTTTTCAATGACAATGGTATCCTTTTCTGTTCTCAGAAATACAAAATTTCTCAAGACTCACGATTTGAATGGGATCTACCCTAAATCAGGAGAGAAAATCATAACCAAGACTTAACAGTCAACACTCACCATTTAGGCCTGGCCAGTTAACAAATCACACACTCAGGCCACCGTGATTAGCTGACAGTCAGACTGGCCCAATCCTAACTGCTCCTGGGACTTATGCAGCAGCTGTGTTGTACAAAACAGATATTCCTTTGTTGTTTTTGAACCTGGTTGTTTTGTTTGTTTGTTTGTGGTGGTTGTTGTTGTTTAGCCTTGCTGAAACGAGGCCTCAAAAAATTGAGTAAAGACACAGAATCATTCCTCTCCATGGAAATCTTTAGTAAAAGGTGAAAGATTATCCTGCAGTTGCCAAGACTCCTACCTGAAACCTATGGATGGATCTGACTATGAAACAGGAGTTGGAAGAAAACAATTTCTGATGATAGCACCTAAAGCCAATTTCACTCTGAGATTTCCCAGCTATATGTCAATGAAGTCTCTTTTTTTTTTTTTTTTTTTTTTTTTGCTTAAATCACTTTGAAATGAGTTTTGTGTTATCTACAACCTATTTTATTACTTAAAAGTGAGTTGGAGGGGCAGGATTTTGGGATAGTGCTAAAGAGTCCTGCACCCTGTATTGGAACACCCGCGTGTGAATCTCAACTTGGCTTGATTCCAGTGTCCTACCAACAAGCTCCCTGGAAGGCAGAGTGCGATGGCTCAAGGGCTGGAGTTCTTGCCACTCACATGGGAGAACTGGCTTGACTTTCAGGCTCCTGGTTTCTGTCTCACCCAATCCCGGATGTTGAGAACATTAGGAGAGCAACCCAGCAGATGGAAGACGTCTCTCTCTCTCTGTCTTGATCTCTTTGACTTTCAAATAAGTTTGAAATAAATATATAATTGTAAAAAAAAAAAAAAGCTGATTTTAAAAGATCAATTTAAAAGCTAGACATGCTAATCTTTTCATATGAGATTGTTCCCAATGAGTAGAGATTCTCCAGGCATTGGCATGTATTTCAACCTCTGCCACTCCTGCAGCCCCTGTACCCCACCATGCAGTAAGCCACTGTAGGGGCTTCCCAGATTTGGACTTGTGGGGATCTAAGCACGTTGTCTTGGAAAAAGACTAGCCAGTCACATCCAAGTTTTTCTTAGTATTTAAACTTCTCTCTCCCCTCCCTTGCTTGAAACTAAAGGGAAAGAGCCCCTGCCATGAGGGACAGGAAATAAAAGGAAACAGAAAAAAGCAAAAAGAGGGAAATCAAAGGGAGGAATTTAGTGCAACCAGCAAAGGCTTCATTAGGCTCCCAACGAAGACAAGCTCAATTTCTCTCCTATTGACATGAACGAGTTTGATGTGAATCCAACAGAAAAGCCAGGCAGATCCGCCTGCTCCTTCTGGGGTCTCGGGATCACTGCAGCTGCTTGCAAAATGTTGCGTTCCACTAAAGGCCATCTGTCTTGATTGGGTTTTATTCCTTTCTATGTTCAAGCAATCAATGACTGGCCAAGCAGATGGCTCAGAGCTGGTCCTGATGGCTGGGTCAGCAGCTGCAGCGTCACCCGGACCCTGTCCACCCCTGCCCAGTACAGAGAGCCTTGCTCCTGCAGTGGCTCTGTCACTGATAGCCACTGACGGAATAAAAGCTACGGCAGAAACAGTGTCTAGCACTACAGAACACGCTGCAGTGAAACAAAGGCTTGTCGCTCATGGGATGAAATGAAAACAGCTCATATCACTTCAGAAAACAACCAACTCCACCTGTGGCAAGGCCAAGATTCCAACTCCCAACATCTTCATTCTGTTAACACGGTGTCTGTCTGGGATGTCAAGCACAGAGGAAATGAAAAAAACAGGAAAAGAGAAAGAAAAGAAGCAGAGAGCAATTAAACATAGGATTATTTCTTGGATTTTTTTTTTCATGTAGTAAGCATTAACCCAGACCTCCAATGTCCTGTTTTTATTTTACTTACGCTTAAAACACTTTGAAAGTTAGCCCATTTCTCACTCAAAAACACCAGAAAACTAATCGTGTATTTGTCTTACAACAAAGACTTGATGTTGAGCTCTTTTTGGCCACATTTACATCAACTATATATTATATATACAGTTACATTATATATATATACATAATATATAGTTTATATAAATGTGATTTAGTCATAGATCAACAGGCAATTACTTAGAATCTACCTTCTTCTGTACATGTATTCATGAAATCACAAACTATTTAATAACAGTCAAGTATCTGGGACCGGCAGTGTGGCCTAATGGTTAAGGTCCTCACCTTGAACGTGCCAGGATCCCATATGGGTGCCAGTTCTAGTCCCGGCAGCTCCACTTCCCATCCAACTCCCTGCTGTGGCCTGGGAAAGCAGTCGAGGACAGCCCAGTGCTTTGGGATCCTACACCTGCGTGGGAGACCTGGAGGAAGTTCCTGGCTCCTGGCTTTGGATCGGCACAGCACCAGTCATTGCAGTCGCATAGGGAGTAAATCATCGGACGGAAGATCTTCCTCTCTGTCTCTCCTCTATGTACATTTGCCTTTGTAATAAAATTAATAAATCTTTAGAAAAAAAGAGCCAAGTACCTGCTAAATCTTAAAGGTGCATATATTATTCATTTTTTAAGTATGGTGTACTCCTACTGTAACAATAGAGAGGAATTCAATATGGGGGAGGGCTTGGGGGAATCCCAGAGCCTATGAAACTGTGTCATAAAATGAAATAATAAAAAAAATAGATAAAATAAAAAAGGTGTGGTACACTCATTGAGAGGCAGAAACAGACATTGACAGACAGAAAAAGGTCTCCCATTCACCGGTTTACTCCTCAAATGCCTACCATGGTTTGACCCAGGCCGAGAGGTCTCCCTTAGCAGTGATAGGGATCTACTACTTAAGCCATCACTACTTAAGCCATCACCTGCTGCTCCACAAGGTGCACATTAGCAGGAAGTCGGAGTCAGAAACAGAACCTTCTGACCCCAACAACTCTGGAGTGGGATATGAGTACCTGACATCTTAACTGCTACATCAAAGGGCCAGCCATGGTCCTTTTGCTCAAAGATCTTGAAACTATTCCTGAAAACAGACAACGAAACAGACAATTGAGAAACAATATGTTTTAGTTTAGATGACTGTAGAGATTCTCAAAGGAAACTGGCATAAACTGAGGGGAGAGGAAAGTCGGGAAGCCTTTCTTAGAAGAGTTCAAGGATAGACTGACTCCAGAGGAAGTAGCTGACGGAGGATCAGTTCCTGGTCCTGATTTCAAATCGACGCAGCTCCAGCCACAGCACTCGGAGACTGAACTTGCATACAGATCTTTCTGTCTCTCCTTCTTTGTGTAAATCTGCCTTTCCAATAAAAATAAATAAATCTTTTACAAAAAATAAACAAAAGTTTTAAATGAGTGGCCACAGGTTGCTTTAAAAATAAAATATTAACCAAAACCTTGCTTATTTTCATGAAAAAAAATAAGGGATTGTGCAGCTAGAGAGACTACTCCCCATTGGCAGCTGTCTTGAGGGTAAAGGGATTCCAGGGAGGGAGTCTCCGTAGCTAACAAGGACCTTAGCTCATCATGCCAGCAATGGACATCCTGCCCGTTGGGGACAGTACAGGAGTTTGGACTCAGGTCTTTGTCTCACTGCAATGAAGAATGAAGATACAGACAATGGGGGCAGTAGGCGAGCAAAGCAAGTGCAAGCAGGTTTTATTGAGAACCTGCAGCTCCTGCTTGCCAGAACAGGCCCCGAAAGGAGAGGTCCATCAAGATCTGGGCGCTTCTGTAGGGAGTACATACCAATGGATCAATTCTTCCTTGTAGTTTCCATACATCTGGGGTCTGCCTGTTTTTTCTCTTGTCTTTGAGGAGGTGGTCATGGTTACTAACCAGTTAACAAATGTTACCTTGCTAACTATTTGAAAACTGTGACACCTGAGAACACGTTGCTTTGTGGTGTGTTCTGGTCACTCACCTATGGGTAGGGGATTTATTGTGCTCCCTGTCAATCTTATCATCTTGAGGCAATGTCTGTCTCATCAGCAGAGGGCTGGTTTCATACAAACACCTGCTCCTTAGCCCCTTGGGTGGGTCGGAGAGGTAGAGGCTTTCCTAGCTGCCTATTAACCCCTCCAACTCCTCACAAGGAGACCAGTGCACAGAGAACCGTTCAGATAAACAAGTTCTGAAGAGATGCAGGTATCGATGCAGCTTGTCAGTCCAACAAGCTAAATTCACTGTCCAAACTGACACTCCTGATCTACCCAAACTCCTTACTGAACTTAGCCAGGTCTTCACCATGACCACATGAGGCAGCAACAGCCAGCAGCTAAGGCCTCTCTGCTGACTGGGTCACCCACGCTTCCCCAGAAATCTGCCTGTTTTCAACACCTATTTCCCTCCGACCTTTCTGATTTTAATAGAAGCCAAATTTCACACGGCCCTTCAAAGAACAATGCCTCTTCCTCTTCTGCCCTGTGTGAATGCCTTGCTCTCCCGAAAGGTTACTCCTTTCATTGTCAGACAATGTTAGATATCAGCTGGTGCCTGCTGCCCTTTCCCGCAGTAAATTATCATTGTTCACTTAGATATGATTTACCTTCACCGTAGCTCGTCTCCATCTCTCTCCCAGCATTTTGATGTCTTTCACTCGCTTTAAACGCCTGCCCTTCTCTGTCCCCTGCTCATCACACACACACACACACACACACAAACACACACACACACACACACACACACACGCTCCTACCTATAACAGCTCGACTTGAATGGAGTTTTTTTGCATTCCTAGGAAGAGTGATAAATTACCATAGTCACCACGGCAACATTGCAAGTCCTGCCTCAAAGCAGAGGTCAAGAACAGACGCCCTCTGCCATCAATACATATATAGATACATAGAGAGAGAGAAAGAGAGACAAAGAGGAAGATCTTCCATCCGCTGAGTCACTCCCCAAGTTACCGCAATGGCTGGAGCTGTGCCAATCCGAAGCCAGGAGCCTGGAGCTTCTTCCTGGTCTTCCCACGTGGGTGCAGGGTCCCACGGCTTTGAGCCATCCTCCACTGCTTTTCCAGGCCACAAGCAGGGAGCTGAATGGGAAGCAAGACTGCCGGGATTAGAACCAGCACCGATATGGGGTCCCGGCACATTCAAGGTGAGGACTTTAGCCACTAGCCAGCACGCCGGGCCTGAAACACTCTTTTATTTGCTAGTTCACTCCTATCAGATGCTTGCAGCAACAGGGCTGGGCCAGGTTGAAGCTAGGAACTTAAAACTCATTTTAGGTCTCCTTGTAGGCAGCAGGGACCAAAGCACCAGCCATTGCAGTAACTTGGGGAGTGACTTAACGGATGGAAGATCTTCCTCTTAGCCTCAC